TTTAAGTCTGAATTTGGCAATAAGGAGTTCATGATCTGAGCCACAGTCAGCTCCCAGTCTTGCTTTTGCTGACTGTATAGAGCTTCTCCATCTTTGGCTGCAAAGAATATAATCAGTCTGATTTCAGTGTTGACCATCTGGTGATGTCCATGTATAGAGTCTTCTCTTGTGTTGTTGGAAGAGGGTGTTTGCTATGACCAGTGCGTTCTCTTGGCAAAACTCTATTAGCTTTTGCCCTGCTTCATTCTGCACTCCAAGGCCAAATTTGCCTGTCACTCCAGGTGTTTCTTGACTTCCCACTTTTGCATTCCAGTCCCCTATAATGAAAAAGACATCTTTTTTGGGTGTTAGTTCTAAAAGGTCTTGTAGGTCTTCATAGAACCATTCAACTTAAGCTTCTTCAGTCACGGCATAGACTTGGATTACCTTGATATTGAATGGTTTGCCTTGGAAATGAACAGAGATCATTCTGCCGTTTTTGAGACTGCATCCAAGTACTGCATTTCGGACTCTTTTGTTGACTGTGATGGCTACTCCATTTCTTCTAGGGGATTCTCACCCACAGTGGTAAAACTAAAAGGTTAAGGCAGATCATTTAATTGGATTTGTTGTTAATGGTGTAGCTCTAAGCTCTACTTGGGAACAGTATCGTTTTAGCTTAGAAAATAACATCATGTTTGAGGATGAATAATATTCCTGGAACCTACCAGATATATATAAATAGTAAATGGAGAATACAAACTTCTCTAAGTTCTCTTACCATCTGCTATTTTACACTGTTGCTATAAAAGTTAAGCTTCCAAAATATAATGGACACCTGTTGCATGAGTACCATTCACATTTCAATGTAATTAATTAGAAAGGAAAGATCTAGACTTACGTTTTCACTAGATTCTCTTTCATTTTAGGCAGATGATCCATCTGTTTCCTTTGAGAAACTGGGTAGGAGCCAGAGGTCTGAAATACAATAGTTGAGCATTTATCCTCTTATTTCTTGATTGCTTTCAGAGATAAGAGGAATAGTCAATTCTCAATTAACTCTTTCCTAACCAGGTATGGATACTGTATTTTAGATATAATGCTGTTGTACTACATTACAGTATAAAAAAATTTAATATAGATTAGAAACCAAAAAGTTCCTGTGACTCACTTTATTGTAATATTAATTTTACTTTATTTTGATGGTCAGGAATCAAACCTGCAATATCTCCTAGGTATGCCTGTATATCTTTTTTCCCCTTTCTTTCTTTTTTAATTGAAATATAGTTGATGTACAATATTATATGTCACTGGTTGGTGTACAGTACAGTGATTGACAGTTTTTACAGGTTATACTGCATTTGGGGGGGCTTCTCTGGTGGCTCAGATGGTAAAGAATCCGCCTGCAGTGCAAGAGACCAGGGTTCAATCCCTGGGTCAAGAAGACCCCCTGGAGGAGGGAATGGCAACTCACTCCAGTATTCTTGCCTGGAGACTTCCGTGGACAGAGGAGCCTGGCAACCTACAGGCCACCGGGTTGCAAAGAGTCAGACATAACTGAATGACTAACACTTTCACTTCATTTTGCTTTATACTGTATAGTTATTATAAAATATTGGCTAGATTGCCTATATATTCTTAAAAAGCAATGTCCATACTGTCCATATACCATGCGAATTGGAAGAATCCTAAGATGTGGAAACTCAGTTTCAGCCAAAACTGTGAAGCCAGCAGAAATATAAACAGCAGACTCAGCAAACAGCTCTAGTTATCTACTAAAGAATCAATTATTTATGTATTCAGCATGGAAAGAATGGCAAATCATTCATTGACCTTTCCAGTCACCATAATATTCACATAGTCAGAACCATCTTTGACTATAAAGATTAACAATTCACTCTGGAGTGAAAATCCTTATTAACATTTATACAGGGAAACAGGATTAACATCTTCCTGGGAAGCTGTTAAAATAGGCTTTGATTGTATGTTCAGTGATCCTGTATAATCAGAGTAGGAGCTATTCCACCCAAATGATTTTTTTCAGATAAACAAAGCTAAAGGAGGATGGCTAAGGCAAGTAGAAATGCTGATGCCCCTTTCACAGAGGGAGGGGCTAGGGAGATGGGAAAGAAAAACAGGAAAACAATATTCACTGTTTGCTGGAATTTAGAACCAATAATGTGCCAGGCATTTCACTCAGCACTTTTCATATATCATATCTCCAGACCCTCACAAATCCCCCTCAAGATACTCCCACTACTTTCCTTTTACAGAGGAGGAAAGAAATTGAGGCCCCCAAAGGTCACATCACAGTAGGTACAAATCTGGGATTCAAGTCCAATTTGCAGTGACTCCAAAGTCTGTGGCCTCTCATCATATCATGGCTTCATAAAGGAGAGGGCATGTTGCTAAACCTTGAAGGAGGCAGAACTGGAATGTAGGAGAAACAGCATATTCTGAGGAGACAGAGTGCAAGGTATGAGAAAAGGCACATGGATACTGGTACAGCAAGAGGAAGCAGGGCTTCTAGCCAAGTATCCAGGACTATAAAAGGTGGACTGACTGTCCTTTTCATGGGTAAAAGACCAAAATTTTGTCTCAATTTCCTACTTACCTTCGTTGGCACTAAAGTCCAAGCTTGCCTTTACCCCTCACCCTGACTTTCATTCTCAAGTTGTTCTCTGCATCCCATCCTCGATTCCAATCCCCAAAGCTAACTCCCTTCCTTCTAGTCCCTTCATTAAGCCTCTGGAAACACCAAATCAGTGGTCAGATAATCACTTTTATGTCAAAACCAGTCCTCAAGGTCCTCCACCTCTATGTCTCATGTACCTATGTCTTGAGGACACTGACTCTCTTTTTGGTTCTTCTTCCCTGGCTATCACTGCTGAAACTCTTCAAAGCTGTATCTCAGACTATCTCTTCACCCTGTGTATTCTCCCTGATGCATTTGATTCATTCACATGGGGTCATTTACTATCTATATGCTGCTGCTGCTGCTAAGTCACTTCAGTCGTGTCCAACTCTGTGCGACCCCACAGACAGGAGCCCACCAGGCAAGAGTACTGGAGTGGGTTGCCATTGCTTTCTCCGATCTATATGCTAATAAGTTCTAAATCCATTGCTTCAATCCTGATCTTTCTTTTATTTTTTTCTCTTAGATTCACACATCCTACCCCTCTTTGGACACTTCCATTCAAATGATGCACATTGAAAACTGAATTTGCATCCTAACCTGAAAACATATATCAAAATAGTTAATAAGGATTAAATATCTAAATGTCAAATATTAAGCCAAATAAGTACTAAAGAGATGTGATGAATGTTATGAAACACTGAGACAAAGACAGTCTTTTAAAATATGACATAAGAAGCCATAAATAAAAGATAGCTTTGACAACATCTAAACAAAAACTCTATATACCAACAACATCATAAATAAAATGGAAAAGCAAATGAAAAACTGGAAAGTATGTGCAGTGTCTTTCATAAATCATTGATCAATTCCCTGTCCTGCCGCTTGTAAGTACACACTTTCTAGCAATAGCAGTGTGGGGTCTATCTTAGACTTCATCATGCATAGCTATGAGGTAAAATGCCTTGACTTTCATGACAGAGGAGTGAAAACTACTTATTTGTGTGAATTCTAGTAATTACAAAGCAAACTAAAGGAACAATTAAAATAACAAGCACACAAAATATAATATTAATTTGGGAAACATATATCTTATTTTTACCTTTTTATAAAAGTCCAGCAGCTGCGATGGACTGTGTGGCTGCGACAGACCGCGCACAAGCGTGGCCGAGAAGAGCTGCCCCACACCCGAGGTCGCGGCCCCACGCCCGAGGTCAGGGGCGGCGGCCAGGAGGAGCAGCCCCACGTCCAAGAACGGCGGCTGCGCGGGTACAAGAGGGCTGAGAGGAGCTGCTCCACGTTCAAGGTCAGGAGGAGGCGGCCGCGAGGAGATACCTCTCGTCCAAGGTAAGGAGCAGCAGCTGCGCTTTGCTGGAGCAGCTGTGAAGAGATGCCCCACGTCCAAGGTAAGAGAAACCCAAGGAAGACGGTAGGTGTTGCCAGAGGGCATCAGAGGGCAGACACACTGAAACCATAATCACAGAAAACTAGCCAATCTGATCACAGGACCACAGTGGTGTCTAACTCAGTGACACTAAGCCATGCCATGTGGGGCCACCCAAGATGGTCAGATCATGGTGGAGACGTCTGACAGAATGTGGTCTGCTGGAGAAGGGAATGGCAAACCATTTCAGTATTTTTGCCTTGAGAACTCCATGAACATTTTGAAAAGGCAAAAAGATAGGACACTGAGAGATGAACTCCCCAGGTCGGTAGGTACCCAATATGCTACTGGAGATCAGTGGAGAAATAACTCCAGAAAGAATGAAG